GGGGGGATAAGTTAGGAGGTTGGGATTAGCAGATACACACAACTATATATAACATAGATAATCAACAAGGACCTACTGTATAGCACAGGGAACTCTACTCAGTAGTCTGTAATAACCTATATGGGAAAAGAATCTGAAAAAGAATGGATACATGTACATGTATAACTGAATCACTTTGCTGTACACCTGAAACTAACACAACACAGTAAATCAACTATACTCCAACATAAAATAAAAATTAAAACAAAAATAGGTTCATTCTTGGGCAGGGGGTGGGGACTGGCAACTAAGATGATAGAGATGTGTTATCAGGGTTAACTCTAGACCTCTGACAGTGGAGACTGAAATCCCCTCAATGCCCCTAATTCCCACTCTTCTTGTCCCTAATGGAGACCTCGAGAATTAGGAGGCAGGTGCTGGGAGAGCATCAGCTCCAGGTGCAGACTCAGGCCACTGGTTCAGTAACCTGCCACGGCTCCCTGGCAGACCCTAGGTTCCGCCTTCCAGGCTGGGCTCGGGCTGAGACCACCCAGTGCCCCCCATTTACTGTGGACTTACTCTGCATTAGTACCTGTGGGCCAAGCACTTGGCACACACTTGTGTAATCCCCACAGCAGCCCTGCATTGCCATCACCCACTTCTGTGGATAAGAAAACAAATGCCTGCCCACAGAGGTCAAGTGACAAGGTCACATACAGGGTGAGCCGCAGAGCTGTGATCACAGTTCAGATCCCCAGTAGCCTTGCTGCTCCCTGATCTCAGGGCTCACGCTTAGTTCTGCCCTGGACCCTGCTATTCTCTTTGCTTATTTACGTATGGCCCGAGATCCCCATTATACCCTCAAGGGCAGAGACTCATGTCTGTCTTTTTCTCCAGGGCGCAGCATGGTACCTCATACATAATGGGCCTGGGGAAAGGAGGCAGTATTCAGAATCTTTAACAACTTGCAGGACCAGGGCACTGGCTATTCAGAATGGCCACTGGTCCAAAGGGAGCTGTTGATTCCTAGAAAAAGTGGGAGAAGGTAGAGGGAGGAAGGTGTCTAGATTTAAAAATGTAGATTTCATCATTATTCAGGTATGGCATGGCTAAAAGATCGGGAGATGAGTGCCATAGAAAAAATAGCTCAGTACATTCACAGATGCCAAGAGGAGGGGGCTTGCCACGTCATGGGGGCCACACGGGGAAGCACCAGGTTCGGTCAGAAGGCAGAGGGAATGTGGACAAGAGCCTTTATTGTGGTCTCTGTGGGAAGGAACAGGGGAGGTGGCGGAAACAGACTTAGAATAGGCTAGTTCAAATAACTTCAGTTAGCTCTGGGGCACAGGGGCTGTCCCTAGTTGTTTGGTACCTCACCTTGAATGATCTGGGCAGGTGGGCGGTGGCTCAGAGGGAAAGACTGTGACAAAGGTTGGGGTGGGGTCTCCGGATTGGTCTTCCTAAGAGAGGGGTGCTTGCAGGCTATCTCTGTGAGGGGCAGTCCCTCCAAGGTCAGCAAGGCGCCCAGTAGTCAAAGCACCAGAATAAAAAGACATGCTTAATAAAGGATGAGACACTGCGGGCAGCTTAGAGGCAGTGCTATTTGTCAAGTGGTACTGAAGTATTTCAATATTTGGACACCTGGCTCCATTGTACCTGGGCATACAGTTGAATCGGTGCTGAGCCTGAAGAAAGGCACTCAGTAAACATACATCCCGTGGCTGAATTGTATGGGCGGGGCCTGCAGTCTCCTTGCCTCCCCACATCTCAGTTCTCCTTGGAGAATGACCATGGCAGTGCCATTCCACACGGCTGCCCTTCCCTTTTCCTTGGGAGCCACCAGGGAGCCCCCATCTGCTCGTACTTGCAGGACTTGGAGCTGGTGGTCGGGTGGCTGCTTTCACTGCAGACAGGGTGACTCAGCCAGCTCTCAGCAACCAGAGTGCAGAGCCCACAATAAGCCTTGAGTCTCCCACCCCTTCTGGCAACTCCTGGGCCCAGGGCGCTGGGTGGGAGGGGGCCTCCCAGCGGCCCTCCACCCCGCCAGCTCCAGGTGTTCACTCATGGATGAAACAGTGTTGATTTTCACATTATGATGCACAACTTGGCAGGTGCAAAGTGGAGGGGGTGGAGGAGAAGCCAGCCACTGATGCTGGGAATTTATTTCAAGACACATTAATTTGTTTCTTTCCTTCAAGGTCAAATCAAGTCATCTCCATATATCACCATTGGCAGTGACTGGCTGGCAGGCAGTTAGGAGGGGGTGGGGATGGGCTGAGGATAAAACTTTCCAGGGAGTTGGGTCAAGGGAGCAGAGCGTGGAAGCAAGTTCTGGGCGGTCCCTGTCCCAGCACCATCATCAAAGTGAGGGCTCCGGAACAATGTTCCTCGGTCATTTCGTTGGAGATCTCTGGGGAGGGGCCGAGTCATCCGTTTTGATGACAAGGCTTGTGTCTGTAAGCTGGAAGCTCTCAGAACTGAAATGAGCTGGCTTTCTGGGGTCTGAGATCGTGTGTTTGGCCTAATTTCCCAGGGAGACCCACACTCACCATTCCTTCCTTCATTCATCCATTCGATACATATGTACTTTCAGTGGGTGGGCTCTCAGTTCTACCCGCTCAGGGTCTCACCATTCAGCGACCCAGAACTGACGAACGTGGAAATGAAAGCTTTGCTTTTCTCTTTCCCTCACCAGGCTCTCAAAGTGAAAAGAAAGGGTAACACGACACCCAGCAAGGTGCCTTGCACTCGTATGTGCCCAGTAAATATTTGTTGAACAAATATCAAATGAGTAGGGATTTTCCCCTTTACTTGAATGATTTCTCCTTTCATCCTTAAAAGCAGAGCAGTTGGGATGAGTTTTGGTGTTTGTGATTGTTATTATTATTTATTCTGCTACACAAATGCCCAAGCTGTTACAGCATGTGCTGGGCTGGGATGGGGGTAATGGTGAGGGGCTCTGGCCAGCTTGCTGGGAGTCTGAGCTGAGATCCTAAAGGATTAGCCAAGGAAGACGCTGGAGGAGTAAGCCCTGGAGAGAGAGAGCAATGTATTCAAAGTTCTGGGAGCAAGACAGGGCCTGTCTGGTTAGAGGAGCCAAGGGAAGTCAGATGGGGCTGCAGGGCGAAGGGAGGGGTTTATGGGAGGGTGGAGAGCAGTGACCCAGGGGAAGATCCCATAATGCCTTGTAAGTCTTGCAAAGAAGCTTGGACTCAATCCTTTGAACAACAGGGAACCACCAAAAGGTTTTAAAAGGGACATACCCTTCGCTTTGGCTCCTGTGTTTTCTTGTGCCTGTGAGGCACCTCCCCACCCCAGCCTCGTGTGCTCAAGCCTGACAACCGTGGAGTGACCCCTCCTCTGATAAGCCAATCCTATCCCCACCCCCCTGCCATGCCCCGATTTGAAAGGTCACTTCTCTTCCCACAAGGTGGACGGACTCACTTAAGACACCCTTACGTTCTGCTTTGCTGACAGAAAGGCAGAACAGGGTAATAGGTTAATAGTAGAGTCAGACTCTCTAAGCCTGTTGCTTAGCAGGTGGGTGGTTTGGGGCCATGCACTAATCCTTGCATGCATCCGTTTCCTTATCTGTAAAATGGAGGTAAGAACCGAACCTTCCTCCTGTAAGCGAGCAGGACCCTTACGGGGACAGACCGCCCCCGCTCCCCGCCCTCCACCTGCCTCTTGTTCGTAGTAAAACTTTAGCTTCCTAGGCGTTCCCCGAGTTCCAGAGAATAAATTTCATCAGAGAAGCGAGAAAAGACAGAGACAAAGGAAAACGGTCAAGCAGACAAAATTATAATAGTTTAGCCTTTAAACAAAGTCAAGGACCTTTAGCTCCTTCTCAAGGGCTATAGATACTATTCTGAGGCAAATCCTTTGAGCTGTTCGGCAGATACTGAAACCCGCCCCCCCCCAGGTGGAAGACGTTAACTACATGCTGAGAATAAGCACGCCCCCCCCCCCCCCCCGCCCCGCCGAGCCTGTTGGAACCAGAAGGTTGATGACGCTGACTCCCAATTAACTCACCACCAACCAATCAGAAGAACGTCCAAGAGCTGACCAAACACCCGGCAACCCTCTTCCTCACCCTGTCTTCAAAAACCTTTCCCTGGGGCTTCCCTGGTGGCGCAGTGGTTGGGGGTCCGCCTGCCGATGCAGGGGGCGCGGGTTCGTGCCCCAGTCCGGGAGGATCCTACGTGCCGTGGAGCGGCTGGGCCCGTGAGCCATGGCCGCTGAGCCTGCGCGTCCGGAGCCTGCGCGTCCGGAGCCTGTGCTCCGCAACGAGAGAGGCCGCAGCAGTGAGAGGCCCGCGTACCGCAAAAAAAAAACCACAAAAAAACCTTTCCCTGAAAGCTGTCAGGGAGTTCTGGCATTTTGAACCCTAGCTTCCTGGACTCCATGCTTGGTGCCCTGCAGTAAACGCTGCACTTTCCTTCACCACACCTGGCGTCAGTAGATTGGCTTTACTGCCTGTGGGCCAGGGGACCCAAGTTTGGTTCGGTAACGCTCATAGAATTGTAGGGTGATTAAATCTATTAATACATATAAGGCACTCAGCACGGTGTCACAGTGAGGATTTGGTGAGGGCCGGGCTTTCTATTATCTGCCTACCCCTGTTGCTGCTCGGAGTCCCTCTGGGAAGGAATCGTGGCTGTTTGCTATATGCTTGGCTCCCAGCATGGGACCAAAATAAGTAGGTGCTCAGGAAATAGTCACTGACTCCTGCTGTCACTTCGGGGTTTGGAGGTGCTCCTAAAAAGAAGCTCAGCAACTCATTAACTCTTCCGGAAGCAAACGTCTAGGTTCAAGTTCTACCATCACCATGGGACTTACCTGAGCTACTTCCCGGAGACGCAGCTTCTTCACCGTAAAATTGGACATCTACTTCCTGGGCTAACGTGAAGCTTAAGTGAGATTGGCTCCAGGGATGGAGCATGTGACCCAGGCCTTACCAATCAAAGCACTGATTTCCTGGGCTGTGCTTAGCTCAGGGATGGTCATGTGACCCAAGCTGGTCCAATAAGAATGACTCCCAGCAGAAGCGATGAGAAAAGAGTGGCTTTTCTCGCTGGGGACTGGAATGTGGGGATGTGGGGCTGTAGTGATCGCAGCTGTCTTGTGACTACTTGAGAGGACATGGGGACACAGAAGAATAGGGGCAGGGGACGTGGAAGGCAACGGGGAGACTGGAGATGGAGCCGACACCGCAGGACCAAGAGACAAACAGTTCTATTAACATCATTAGAGACCTGAAAGCAGCGTTTAACCTGGACTTCACAGCTGTGTCCAATAAACACCCCTTTTTGCTTAAATCGGTTCGAGTGGGGTTTCCCAGCACTTAGCACAGAAACAGTTCTAACTGATGCACTCTGGTAGCCTCCCTGCTTCCCACCACCCTACTTTCAGGGTTCTGGGCTCCTGGCAGCATCAGTGTGGGGCATCCATGAATTGTTGATTGCCCCTTTTCTCCTTCCTAACAGAAGCTTGTTTTTTCAGGCAGCAATGTTCCTGGCCTCAAAGGACAAATCAATATTGATCTGAGCCCAACACGACATTCCTTTCCCTTTGCCAGGGATTGGCTGCAGCACACACATGTGACCCAGTTTTGGTCAATGAAATAAAAGAAAGAAATCTGCTGAGAGAGAGCTTCTGGGAAAGATGTTACCGATAAAAGAGAAATGCAGACAAAAAGCCTTTTGTACCCTTGCCTTCTCTTCCTATACATTGTCATATAAGGTTGAGATGCTTGGAGCTGCTGCAGCCATCTTGCAAACATGAAGACAGAACTTGTAGACTTGTCAGAGACGGCAGAGGAAAATGATAGAAGGACTCTGGGTTCTTGGTGGCATAACAGCTGAAAAAGTAACTCCGAAATCACTCATATCTAAACTTCTTGTAAAGTTAGACAGATGTTTATGTCATTTAAGCCACTATGCATTGGGCATTATTATTTGATGCCACAAGCATCCCTAATAGATGTGGCATATCTAAGTGGTACCGCATTTAGTTCCCATCAAAATGACACACGAAGCTAAGAACAAGCTCCTTTATTACTATTATTATTTACTGTTATTTTCCCCTAAACAGCACAATTCAAATAACAAAGACACACACGTCCCACCCATATACACAGTACCACGAGTCTGCCTGACAGGCAGTCTGGCCTTTGCTTGGTTCCTGGTGGAGCTGTCTGGAGACAGCCCCCTCTGTAAAAATCCCGACTTGGACATAGGAGACACAAGAAAGGGGGGACTTTAGCCAGAGAATAAACTAAGGGGCTTCCAGAGTCCTTGGGGAGTGCCAGCTTGGGAACATGCTATAAATGCCTGGGTGGAGGGCAGAAGGCACTGTTTGTTTTCACGTGGTTGTTGGATAAATCCCATATGGGGATGTAAGACCTGTCTATAAGCCTGTGTAAACCAAGTCTTCAGAAACACAGCGGGGTGAGCTTCTGGGCTCCGTCAACCAAACCCTGAGGCAGGCATGGACACTGGGAGCCCAGAATGGGAACCTGGGTGATGGGGAGGTCCCCAGAGAAAAGCAACTCTTGCATTAGCTGCAAGGTAAGATACAATGTGAAATGTTATGTCCCCTTTTATTTGTTTTGCAGCTGTAGAATGTGCAACATTTTCATCACGATAGAAAAGGTAAAGAAAGAAAAACTCGCAGCACCTTGGCCTAATGCAGCGGAACACGACCTGCCAATTGCGCCATCTTGCGGAAAAACCTACTATTACACTCTCCAGGGAATCTGGTCAATCCACCCTGACCCCCAACATTTCAGTCGCACTAAATCTACGAGTTCAGCTAAAGTAATGTATCCTGGAATCAAAGAAGCCCAGGGGTTGGGGAGGGAACAAGGAAGGGCCAAGACTGGGGTCTCAGGTACAAGTGACTTCCTGGCTGTCTTGGGGAAGCTCGTTGTTGAAACTGCTCTCTCCAAATGGTGAGTAAGGGGGGATCTGGGGGGCTTCGATGATCAGCAGGCCTTCTGGGGAAAGCGAGGCGAATACTGTCACAGGATCCACCTCTGCAGGAAGCCTAGGAGAAACACACGATTCGTTTATTATCTTTAATATAGCCAAACATTCTCATTTCATTTGAAAGAAAATATTTTCGATATTGCCTGGTGGGATTATTATTTTGATAATAATCCCAGCAGGCAAGTTCCACTACTATCCCCAATTTATAGATGAGGAGACTGAGATCAGAGAGGTGAACTGATTTGCCCAAGGTCACACAGCTGGCAAGCAGCAGAGGGGAATAGAATTGGAATCCCGGTCTCCGAATTCAGAGTAGCTTATCATGATGCTCCCCTGTCTCCCCAGGCACCAGACTTTTGAAAAAAGGTCCACGGTAGGGAAAGCCAGAAGGTTCAATCCCCATAGATCACCGGTCCAGGCTGGCTCTGACTATTGTAAATGCAGGGGTCTTGATGAAAGACCCAGGAAGTAAGGTGAGCCCATTCTGGTCATGGGCAGAAGGACCCTTCCTGGAGGGGTTGGGGAGTTTTTGGCTGTGAACAGCCACCTGTAGCCACATGAACTTCCTCTACCAGGGAGACTCCTGCCAAATTGAGCCACGGAGATTACCAAGGGGCCTGCAGGGAAGGATGGAAGAGAAAGGGAACTTGCGCAGTTGCCAAGCCAAACTTCTGAAGTAGAGACAAGGCCAAGAGTTTGGACCTCCCTCTCTGGGCTGGGGATGGGCTGACTCCGTTTAACCCTTTGCACGCCAACCCATAGAACACCTGGGACAATATGACAGGGCAGCCATGGTCCACAAGCATGGACTTTGCAGGCGGGCAGACGTGAGTTCAAATGCTGGTTCTTCCTGACTGTGCGACCTTGGGCTAGTGATCCTGCCTCTCTGAACTTACTTCCTTATAGGAAAAGGGGGTTAAAAATAGCATCTATCTCTTAGGGTGGTGTGAGAATTCTGTAGGATGATGAAAGCAAAGGGCTTAGCACAGTGCCTGGCATATAGGAAGTGCTCAGTCAGCCTCACCTTCTACATTGTTATTGAAGTCATTGGCTGTACAAGTGAGCATCTTGACAGCTGAGACTATTTTAGCACAAGCACTGACCCATGAACTGTCGGAGCCCAAAAGGATCTCGACTGTCCAGGATGATGCTCTCATGTTACACACGAGGAAACTGAGGCCCCGAGATGGGGAGAGACTTGTTCAAGGGCTCTCACTGGGTGACCTCTATATTGAAACACGTGGTGGGAGAGCTATTCCTCCTCAACCCTCTTGCAGATCTTTCATTCACATCTAAGGGAAAGTCTCAGCTCTGTGTTAACATGCCTTTAACACCTTGGCCTCTATCTCCTGCTATTTTCTCTCTTTTAACAAAGAAAGAGCTAATCTATGACTTAGACCCTCAGGCAGGCAACACGGCCTGGTTAGAATTTAACCACATTTTGCTTCCCTTGGATTTATTTTACAATTGCCTTCTTCAGTGAACGTTTGACTGATGAGAATTGAACCTTATCAAAAGCGAGTTGATCGAAAAGAAAAAAAGTCGTGAGCAAATAATAGTATGGGAACGTAAGCACAGAAGGCAAAAACTAGTTGAAGATGGTTCGTGAACCACTCAGTTGGTTTCCCCTAACCAAACAGGAAGGTCGTGGGCTTGGAAGGTGGAGAGACCTGTGTTCAAGTCCCAGACCTGCTCATTATTGGTTATGTGACCTTAGCTGAGTCCCATCATCCTCTGAGCCTCAGTTTTCTCATCCACAAGGTGAGCTTAATGATACCTACTCTATAGCATCCTTTTTTTTTTTTTTAACATCTTTACTGGAGTATAATTGCTTTACAGTGGTGTGTTCGTTTCTGCTTTATAACAAAGTGAATCAGCTATACGTATACATATATCCCCATAGCTCCTCCCTCTTGCGTCTCCCTCCCACCCTCCCTATCCCACCCCTCTAGCTGGTCACAAAGCACCGAGCTGATCTCCCTGTGCTATGCGGCTGCTTCCCACTAGCTATCTATTTTACATTTGGTAGTGTATATATGTGCATGCCGCTCTCTCACTTCTTCCCAGCTTACCCTTCCCCCTCCCCGTGTCCTCAAGTCCATTCTCTACATCTGCGTCTTTATTCCTGTCCTGTCCCTAGGTTCTTCAGAACCTTTTTTTTTTTCTTAGATTCCATATATATGTGTTAGCATACGGTATTTGTTTTTCTCTTTCTGACTTACTTCACTCTGTATGACAGACTCTAGGTCCATCCACCTCACTACAAATAACTCAATTTCACTTCTTTTTATGGCTGAGTAATATTCCATTGTGTATGTGTGCTACATCTTCTTAATCCATTCATCTGTCAATGGACACTTAGGTTGCTTCCATGTCCTGGCTATTGTAAATAGAGCTGCAGTGAACATTTTGGTACATGACTCTTTTTGAATTATGGTTTTCTCAGGGTATATGCCCAGTAGTGGGATTGCTGGGTCATATGGTAGTTCTACTTTTAGTTCTTGAAGGAACCTCTATACTGTTCTCCACAGTGGCGGTATCAATTTACATTCCCACCAACAGTGCAAGAGGACTCCCTTTTCTCCACACCCTCTCCAGCATTTACTGTTTGTAGATTTTTTGATGATGGCCACTCTGACCGGTGTGAGGTGATACCTCATTGTAGTTTTGATTTGCATTTCTCTAATGATTAGTGATGTTGAGCATCCTTTCATGTGTTTGTTGGCAATCTGTATATCTTCTTTGGAGAAATGTCTGTGTAGGTCTTCTGCCCATTTTTGGATTGGGTTGTTTGTTTTTTTGATATTGAGCTGCATGAGCTGCTTGTAAACTTTGGAGATTAATCCTTTGTCAGTTGCTTCATTTGCAAATATTTTCTCCCATTCTGAGGGTTATCTTTTCACCTTGTTTATGGTTATAGCATCCTTTTCAAGATGAGACAAAATTAAAACTCTACATCTTTTAACATGACTCCTGCCACACCACCGGGGTCACTAAATGGCAGATCAGATAGACACCACGGAGGATGTGGAGCAAAGACACTCACGTCTGCTTTGGTTCTGGGCATCCTCCATTGATGACTTTCGGCATCCCCTGGCCTCTCACTCCAGTTGGGTGTGGAAAAGCCCCCATCTCCAGGCTTTGCCCTGCACCCAACCTGACTGGCAAATTCGAAGACCTCTCCCTCTCTCCCTCATCCAGTTAAAACAGGGTCTTTCACATGGGGAAGGATGTGTTGAGAAGAATTCCTAGCCGTGGCTGAGGCAAACGGCTGGAGCATCCTGTCTGGGAGGATATCTCCAAGGAAGAATCTCAGCCTGGCTGAAGGAGCTTCCCTGGCCTCTAGTGACTGGAGCTTTTCCTGGGAGAGGCAATGAGACCTCTGAGATGGGGCTAAAGCCATCCCAGACCCCAGTCCCACTGCTTGGTGTCTGGAGTCTGGGCAGAGCCAGGAGGTCCCAGGAGTCCCAGCTGCTCTTGTGTGATTCCAGCCTTGTGGAATCTTTAATAATTTTAATTCCCATGGGCTGGGCACTGAGTCTGTACACATCCTCTCATTCCCCATCCTGAGGGAAAGAGGGATACAGGAACAGAAGTTCAGAGCAGTTCAGCATTTTGCTGCAAGTCACCCACTCAGTCATGGAGCTGGGACTCCCTACACGCAGAGGCGAGGTTCAAAAATATTTAACAACTGGCGCAGCTGGACCAACCAGAATGGATGGATCCATGCCGAAGTGATGGAGGAGGGTCCTGGGGGCCCTTTAGTCGCTGGAATGTAGGGAGGCTTGCAGGGTCCAGGGACAGCGTTGGGATGACTGGTTGACTAAGGAGAGCCTCTGGGGGGCTCCTGGCCATGTCAGTCCAGTGTCCTAACAAGCAGCCCAGCTCAGCTGCCGAGCCTCTAGCAGCTTTAGGCACTTCTATCTGGTCAAGTAACTCCCCGCAAGCTGTTTCCCCGGAGGCCTCGGAGATGGTGAGATCCATGGAAATGGCTGTCTTTTAGAGATGAAGAATTTGCTGACTTCTTTCCGGTTCAGTCCCTTTCACAGCTCTGCCCTGCCTGTGACTCCATCCTGAGACCTTATTTCAGTCTCTTAAAAGAAACATCAGGGCTTCCCTCGTGGCGCAGTGGTTAAGAATCTGCCTGCCAATGCAGGGGACAGGGGTTCGAGCCCTGGTCTGGGAAGATCCCACATGCCGTGGAGCAACGAAGCCCGTGCGCCACAACTACTGCGCCTGCGCTCTAGAACCCAGGAGCCGCGACTATGGAAGACTGCAAGCCACAACTACTGAAGCCCGCGCGCCTAGAGCCCGTGCTCCGCAACAAGAGAAGCCACCGCAATGAGAAGCCCGCGCACCACAACGAAGAGTAGCCCCTGCTCGCCACAACTAGAGAAAGCCCGCGCGCAACCAAAAATAATAAATAAATTATTTATTAAAAAGAAAGAAAGAAAGAAACATCAGCCCCCTCCCTCCCTCTCTCCCTCATCTCTCCCCCATCAGCAACATTTGTTCCGGCTGGCTGCGGTACTAGGGAAAGGTGTGGGTCTTGGGGATGGCAGGCGAGCCAGGCAGCACGGAGAAGAACAGTTTGGCGTTTGCCTTATCAGAAAGTGGCTGCAGCCTTTTAAGTACTCCAGAGGCACCCGGTGGGTTAGGAATGGGCACATGGCAGGAGAGACAGGACTACAGAATCCTAAAGCTGAAAGCAGCCTCAGAATTTGGTTTGTGCAATCTCTCCAGACACAGGATATCTTTGCCAGGGCGAGGGGAGGAGTTAAGATTCAGTAACAAAACAATAATAGTAACAACAAACCACCACTTATGGGGACCTGCTGTGTGCCCATCACAGTGCAGTGATCTCACTTCCTTTTCAGCATCCATCCCTTTCACAGGTGAGGAAAGGGCATTCCTTGCTCAAGGAACGAACACGGTGAACTCAGAGTTCAAAGGTCTGTTTGGGCTGTTCTAGATGCTAATTTTAACGACCTTGGGTATGTCCTTTCACTTCTGGGAGATTTTGTTTCCCCATAATACAAGGAGGGTAATGTCTCCTTTCCCCACTGCATACCTTTGCTGCAAAGGTGAAATGGGACTGGGAAGAGACTTTGGAGCCAGAAGTGCACATCGGTGGAAGGACGCCGATTAGGGGGAAGGTGAGTCTCTTCTGCCTACAGTTGTTGCCATCGGGGCCTCAGTGTGGCTTTGACTCATTGGCTCAGCCTGCTGGTCTTTCTGCTGCTTGTATAATCCCCCCCACACCCCACCCCGCCCCCTGCCTCAGCCCTTCTCACTCCCCTCAGCAAAACCGGCCCTTCCTTTGTCCCAGTCTCTCAGCCTGAAGACCCCTCTAGGTGGTGAGCAGTGATGACAGCAGGACACCTTCCAGCCCAACTCACGTGCATGCTCTAGGGAAGGCGCACGTTCTCCTGGCCACGGGAGACCCAGAGCAAGCAGCCTTCGAAAGATTCTATTGGGGAATTTGGGGCATCATATCACATGGGTGGGTGAGTGCCCCAATTTTCACGGAATTGTGGACAAGTCATTTCGCCTTTCCTATTCTCGGATTCTTCATCTACAGAATGGGATTGTTAATCCCACCCCACGGGGCACTGAGCAGATGACTTGGCACAACCTACGTGCCGCCCTTTCTGGGAACCTATTGCACGTTTGCTGTGATACCTTCTCCCCTTTAGGTGCAAGGGTTCAATTCCCTGCCCTGGGGGCAGGAGTGTGTATCTTGAAGTAGAGATGCCCAAGAGGGAGAGACCTCAGATCTCAGGTCCCAGGCATCCCCACTTCCACTCCAATCCTACCCTGAAATCCAGCTGCCACGTTACTTACTGGATTTTCTTTGTGAAGTTCTTGGAAACAATGCCACCTTCTTGCTGCTTCTCTTCATGTTTACCTGGAAGGGAGAAGAAAGCCATGTGTCAGCGGCTATGTCCCTCGGGCATCATTCAGGACTCAGGCTCAGATGTAAAACCTGCCCCGGCCTCGCTGTGTGGCTCGGGGCTTGGTCTAGAGGCTCCGGTTGTCTGAGCCTCTGGTCCCTCATCTGCTAAGTGGACCCACTTGATACCACCTCCCAGGCTGTCGTGAAGATGCAGTAAGACAACAGGCAGGTCAGGAGGCCTTGACCGTGGTTTGTAGATGATTATGCGTTAGACTTGGGAAATTACAGAGTCTATCTCCTGTCTTCTAAGATGTGGCATGGCATCTTCAAAGCCTTGCGTCTCACCCCTCTCTCCTAACCAGCCAGGAGACCCCTGAGGCCAACATCCCAGAATGGGTGAGAGGAAAAATGTGGGGCTAGTTTGCCACCCAGCTGGCTTTATAATGCACAGAGCCCTTTCCCAGCTCTGAGGATGGGCCTCTTTCTCCCTCAGTTACCGATGTGAAAACTGAGGCCCAGGGATGGGTCTAAGGGCACCCAGCAAGTGCATGGCAGCCCCAGTCTCAGAACCAACTCTTGGAATCGAAGCCAAGGGCTGGGGTCCGATGCCCCTCTGCCTGTTCCAGCTTCCAGTTAGTTATTTGGGCTCCATTATCTGTACTGAGTCCTGAAAGAACTGCCTGGAAATAATGCTTCAACCTGCTAAAAGAAAACAACACCCTAAGGGGGCTTTCCTGAGAAATGACACATTAGTCGCCATGGATGTGAAATTCCACCCACCCCTCCTCCTCCAGGCTGGCAGGCGAGGGCTTTTTTTCTTTCCTTAGGAAGGAAAAATATGAAATTACAAGAAGGCTTAGGCGCAAACTGGCTGTCGTCTGCAATTTATGTAACAAATTCTGAGCCCGTTGGCCATCCCCGCTTTTTTTTTTTTAAATGGAGAGAGTATCTCTAATTTCTCTTTAAACAAATCGGATTAGCGCCTGGCAGAGCCATCAGGCTCCTATTATTACTCATTCCTCATTTGTGGCGCCACATTCCAGGGCCAAGAACCCTCATTTACCCGCGGACATCCTTCTGAGGGGCTTTGGAACTAGACTGTAAATAACCTTGTGTAATATAGTGTCTTACTGCAGTCAAGATTTTAAGCTGAAAATTTATAGGTGATTACATTATTCATTACCTTTTTATTATTCATTATTCCTTTATTAATAACATTTTTTCTGATTACAAGATAACGCATGTGTATGTTTGAAAATGTAGAAAAGAAAGAAAAAAACATCAAAACCCTCCATAATTCCATCACCCCAAGGAAACCACATTTTTGTATACGTTCCAGACTTTTCTATGTTACTTAGAAATGCATACATGTTATATAGTATAGACGTATATCACCCATTTTATCAAATGAGATCATACTGTATGTTACACCTGAAAATTGTTTTTCTCTCTTACTGACGCGTTATAATTATTTTTCCATATTATAGCGAATATTCACTGCCAACCTGACTTTTAATGGCTGCGGGGAGATATAAGTTCATTTAGCCAATCCCCGGCTTTGGGGCACTGAGAGTGTTTCTGACATCAGAAAGAACCTCACCGTACTGAACATTCTTGTAGCTAGGTCTTCACACCTGGCCTCATGACTTCCTAGGATAAATTCCAAGTTCTAGAATTTTGAAGCCTTGCTCTATATGTTGTAAATTTCCCTTAGGAAAGGCTGCATCAACGTAGTCTCCCGCCAGCTGAGCGGAAAGGGGTACATTTACAGGAATTCATTTTTCAACGGGAGTGTCTGGCTAACCAGAACATACTATTCTGCCAACATGCTGCCTCTTGAAGCTCAGAGAGTTTATTCTGACCTGCCAAGTCCGTGACCACCAGCTGACCAGCTCTGATACAGGCCTGTGGCCAGAGGAACACTGTCTGTCCCCTGGTCCCCTTCCCAAAGCCTGGGCCTCCGGAGACCTGCTTCCCCTGGGGACAGGCCAGTGCCTCTGACTCAGCCCTTTTGCACACTTGCTGTCCTGGCAATAATAAATGATAATGATGGTGATGGTGAGAATAATAATAGCAAACTCTTATATTGCAGCGCTTCCTTGGTGTCCGCCACTCTTCTAAGCACCTTACCGATATCAACTGTTCAATTTTCACAAAAACCTTAGAAAGCAGGTACTTTTATTATTACCGTTTTGTGGATAGGGAAATGGAAGTTCAGAGAGGGTAAGTGATGTGCCCCAGGTCACACAGCTTGGAAGTGCTGGAGCAAAGACTCCAAGGCAGGGATGTGGGTTGGGGATTGGAGTCCCTGCTCTGACATTTCCCAGCACATCTCTCTTCTTCTTTACAATGGCGGTGACAACAGCTTCCTAGGAGCCAATGAGTCACAGAATTGCTTTGAAAGTTGTAAAAATACCATGTGAAGGTGAATGCTTGTGGTTTATTTTGATACTGGGGGAAAAAACTGACCCACAGAAGCTAAACCTCTCTGTCCATGCTCTGAAAATAGGGTACTGGGGTTGTGGGGGAGGATCTCTAAGCAAAGGCAGCTCCGTAAAGGGGGGCTTGGGGGAGGGGGTTAAGCTGGGTGAAAGAGGGTTTTGCTAGGAGGCCCCTGCTGAAGCTTAATTTGCATGGTATTTGGATATCTATTTACTGGGGCAGCTTAAGGATTACGACTGATTTTTAATTTCCTATTTTGCTTTCCTGTCTACATTTTCTACCATGGAAATATTTTATGTTGGTAAACAAAAAAGCAATTATTATGAAAAAAACAAAAAAACGAACCCATCTGGAGGCCAGGGGAAGCTAGAGGTCCCTCACAGCCACCGAGAAATGTAGGTGCCAAGAAGCAGCATCAGCACTTCGGGGAAAGCCATCGGCCCAGCTGAAGAAAGAAGGGGCTGTTTCCAGGGGAGGCAGAGGCCCTGGGATTCAGGAGAGGGGGTGGAATAAAGCCTCTGGCTTTCCAGTCCCTTCCTTGGCCAGGGCCTGGGCCAGCGGCCCATGAAGAGAACATTTCTTGGCTGGTGGCTGCAGGGTGGGGGAGGGGTATATGTGAGGCATGATGGAAACCATCTAGTCTAGCATTTTCCAAAAATTCCCTGGGCCTAGACACTCATATGCGGTCAGATAAGACAGGGCTACCTCTCAGAGATTCATAAACGCCATTAGCAAATTCAATGCTCTGATAAGTCCTGCAGTGAGGAGACCTGCATTTATCAGATGCCCAGTGATATCTTAAAACACACCATTTGGCAAATACTGATCTAGTCCAACTCCTCATAAGACCAAGGGTAAAGCTGAGGCCCAAGAGGTCGTAGGATTTGTCCCAGGCCACTCAATTAGAAGCAGATCCAGCCATCCTGACTTGGAACTACCTAAGCAGGCCTGGCTTTGAATTTCAGACCTTGCCATGGAGAAGCAAGTGATCTCGGGTGACTTAGTCTCTCTGGACCTCAGTTTCCTCATCTGTAAAATGGGTGCAACAAGCCTACGCATATTTCCTTGGAAGTCCATGTGAGGAACCAGTGAACCAACATCTGGCTGCGTTTAGCACAGTGCCCTGCACAAACAGCTTGAGGAAGAATGGGTGTGTCATTAAGTGAGGTAGGATGGGAGACTGATCTGACTTCCCACGTCCCTTGGAAGTTGCTGTTCAAACGGAGCCCCTGATAATTGATTTGATTTTTTAAATCCCTGTTATAAAAATCTCTGTATGTATTCTTGGGGGATTTGGATTCTGTCAAGCCGATGTTGCTAAGTGCACAGCTGTGAGGCATTTTCAACCTGAAAAGGCTTTGTCTGTCTTTGTCTTATTTAAGCCCCCAATGACCCCATTTTACAGATGTGGAAGCTGAGGCTAGGTGACCCACTCGAAGCCTCTGGGTTAGTACGGTACTCAGCTGGGATCTCAGCCTGGAGCTGCCAGACCCCACCTAGAAAGGAGGATGGAGAGGAAAAAGCTCTCCAGGCTGGACAGAGTTCTCCTGAAGGGGCCACAGGGCATGGGACACCCTCCACCCTGGGGCGGAAGCCTCTGGAACCCTAATTCAAACAAAGACAGGAGGAGCGGTGATAATAATCACCTTGTTTGCAGAGTGCCAGGCAGACACTAGTATTAGCTCCATTTTACAGACACTCTGCATTTATTATCATGGATCGTCTGCACGTACTTAATCTTCCCTACAGCCTTGCAAGATGGATATTATTATGATCTCCACTCTTCAGATGGGGAAGCCGAGGCTCAGAGCAGTGAAAAGACTTTCTTGTCCATATCCATTCAGAGATTGAACAGCGGTGGTGGGATTTGAACCTGGGTCTCAAAGAACATCTAGCATTTATGTATGTATGTATGCACGTATGTATGTATGTATGTTTTGGGGCCTTAATATTCTAGTAACATCAAAACAATGCCGATCCCTTGTGTTTTAGGCACTATGTACACACTTTACATGCGTCATCTAAGACAAAAATCCTTAGGCCGTGTAACCATTTGAACCCCAATTTCCAGATAAGAAAACAAAGCCCAGAGAAATGGTTTCAGGCGTCTGGCACCCTGGCCATCTCCCTCCACCCACATAAGGCCCCAGAATGCCGCCTGGCCCACCACACCCTCCGGAGCCTCTGATGTTTATAATTCTGCCCTGGGAGCCTTTGAAACTCCCCCTGAAGACTGCTCTGCTGGGGCTAGTCCCTACCCAGCCTGTTTGCAATGGCTTTTATTGATTTTCCAGCAGGTAGAGCCTGCCAGGAACATGCTTTTTAATGGAACATTAATTGGGAGGGAAGGGACAGAAAGCTTTTCCCCTGCTGCCCTGCTTCGCAGGGACTGAGCGTCCATCTCCTCTTTCCTCTTCCCCAAAACATTCCCTCTCCCAGGCTGGGATGTGGGCAGGCCCAGACTCTGCCTGCTGCTAACTCACGGCGTGACCTTGGACGAGTGCCCACCTGGGCCTTAGCCTCCTCAGCTGCAAAATGGGACTAGCCACCTCTGCTTCTCAAGGCTGGAGTGAAGATTATTTGAGAGCAGGAATATAAAAGCTGTAGCCCTTGGCACCTGGTAGGTGCTCAACAAATTGTCAACTTGCTTCTGGCCTCCCAATTCCCAGACAGCCGGGGTTGGAATCCTTGGTGATCTTGGGTGGGTTACTTTAACCTCTCTGTGCCTCAGTTTCCTCATCTGTAAAAAAGAGGAGACAAGCCCCGCCCCTTCTGCTTGTGTTCATTGAGATGCCACAGGTAAAGCTCTGAGCACGGTGCCTGGGAGACCGTAAGCGCTCGACCAGGGTTACCACGTCGCAGCCTTATAATGACAATTATGCCTCAGTTTCCTCATCTGGGACAAGGGAAGGTGTTTCTCTTGAAACCTGAGCTAGTTGCTAACACTGTCATTACACAGCATCAAACACCCCCTTCCGGACTGTGTCGTGATGCTTGGGTACGTGAACCCCACTTCTTCTTTGGCTTTTTACTCCTATGTCTGTTAAACTTATTCTTTATATTAAATTTTCTCTCTTAGGACATGCAACGTGGTTTCTATTCCCCTGCCTGTTGGCTGGCTGATGCAGCACCCAAAGCCCCCAGCAGCTGAATCAGGTTAAAATTCCCCCTAGGAGCTGGAAGAGGAGAGCTTTTCTGTAAAGAGAACTTTTATGGGCTGCATTCCTGAGCCCTGAAGTCACCTGTGTCATGCAGCCACAGCGTCCCCTCCAAAGGAGCGTTCTCTTGGCTCTTCCGGGTCTGAGGTCTACACCCCCTCCCCGGCTTCTCTCCTTCCTGCCCCCCACTCACCAGACACCTCCACGTATCCGTCCTTGGTCTTTACCATCAGCTCCTCCGGCTTAAAGCTGTGCACATTGACACACACTTTCCAGGGCTCCCCGGGGAAAGGGGGCGGGCTCCTGCCCTCGGCAGGCACCCCAAATCTGGCCACAGCAGAGGGCCCCCGGGGCACCATGCCCGACCTCAGGGTCCCCGGCCAGGCGGAGGAGAGTCGAGGCAGGGCCCAGTTGGGCCAAGGGGCAGTCAAGTCGTCGGGGAAGGGGTCCATGCCGAAGCCATCATCCAGCAGGCGGGAGGACAGAGATGAGTCCCGGAAGGGGTCCCGGCGCCGGCGGCTCGTGTAATGGCAGGGGAAGGGCATCTGACCATCAGCCATGGCGGCTGCTGAGCTGGAGGGGAAACAGAGGCTCAGAGAGAGGGAGCCACCTGCCCAAGGTCACACAGCAAGGTGATGTGGGTGCACTGGCCTTCCAAGGTTATTCTTCAGCTTCAGAAAATGCCACTGCCAAGGACAGAGGCACACACACACCAGGCTGGGGTCCCAGCCCCGCAAGACTCTCCAGCCACCAAAGGCGACCCTTGGCCAGTGCAGCAGAATTCTCAAGGACCCCTCTCCACACAGCCTCACCGGAGATGAGCCAGCCACCGTCCGCCCAGGCCGTCCAGGCTGTCAGCCAGAGCCGCTGAGTGGAGCGGAGAGCTTAATAAACCGGGAACGCAGGTCTAGAAACTTCTTGCTTCTCCTGGGCTGGGTGCCTTCTATTTATTCCTGCTTGGGGCTGGAGGCGGGTTCTGCAAGCACCTCCTGTCACAGGAGTATTCAGAGGTGATGAACCAGCCCCGGAGAATCTGCGGAGGGGACAGCTGGGTTCCCGGGGGGCTGGGAGGGGCCTTCGCGGCCAAGTTCTGCCAGCCTCTCCGGACTCTCCTCCCCCAGCTCGGCTGGGCTCAGCTCCGCCCTCCCTCCCGCTCCCTTCCCCCCAGAGCCTGCCCGCCCCTAGCGGGGCACTAAGGCCTGGCTATTAATAACCCTCGCCTGGCTGAGGGCTCAGATCAGCCTCCTGAAATACCTTCTCCAGAGCCTGCAGCATCCTGCCTCCCCACTGGGGACCCGCGGAAGGGGAGGAGAGAGACGGGAGCCAGTGGATGGGAAGGCAGGTGACCCTGGGTTGCAATCCCCCCTTCCAAGCCTCAGCCTCCAGCATCCTCAAGCTCTCAGAGCTTGCCTTCTGAGGGGCGTAACATTCTTCCCCAGGTGGCTCTGAGCTGTCAGCTTTCCCACCTGTAAAATGGATGTAATAGTAGCCTCCTCAGGGATGTATCATGAGGTCATCCTCCTTAAGCATTTAGCAAACCATCACTTTTATATTTTCAATGTTGATTCTCAACTACATGACGCTTGCTACATGCCAGGCCCTGTTCCAAATGCTTCACAAACATTAGCTTTGCGTCATCCTCACCAACAATCCCGTGAGGTGAGAGCAGTGCGATGATCCCCATTCTACAGGTGAGGACACTGTCATAGGAAGTGTTATCCAATGGTAGCTTCTATTATGGTGATGACAGTTAATAATGATAATTATCCAAAGGTGCTCTATTCAGGCAGAGTGTCTGGTCTGGAATTCCAAGCCCAGGGAGGACCTATTTTCTAGACTTCCCTGCCCCTCCCAGGTAGCTCAGAGAATGAGTCTGTAAATTGTCCTTTAACCTAAAGGCCCCTCGAGCTTGGGTTCCTCTTTCATCTGTCCCCAGCAGGTGTGCAGTTCGGGGCGTGCTATGCCCCCTCTACGGGCTTAGGGTCGGGACCCTGCCTTCCTCGTGGGCTGGGGTGGGCTGGGGGGTGTTAAGGAATTCAGTGAGTCCTCGGTTGAGATATCGGTTTGGTATTAAGCAGTTGAGGCACATGAGGCAGTTTGCTAAAAATAATAGTATGGAGGGTGACAACACCGCCATTGTTTACTGTTCCCCGCGTACCTGCCACGGCGGTGAGCAGTTGCAGATGTTATCGCCCTAAACCCTCACAACAGCAGTGTGGGCGCTGTCACCATGCCCATTCTGCAGGTGAGGAAACAGAGGCGCAGAGCGTGGCCTGTGCACACCGCTGGGGGGCGGCAGGGCCTGGGTGGGAACCTGCAAGTCTGGGCTGAGCTGACAGACCCAGACCCCGCTGCCTTCTCCTGGGGCCGAGAGGGGAAGGTGGAGGCGCCCCCATCCCAAGTGACTGGGGTGAGATCAACGTGCTGGAAGCTTCAGGCTGACGTCACGTTGGGCACCGAGGCCTCAGCTCTCTCTGTAATTACAGCGGGGTGAGGCTGGCTGGGTGTGGAGCCAGGAACGGGGAGAATCACTGCATGACACACAGAAGAAAGCTGGCCCTGCCTGCGACCTGAGCAGGGGCTGGAGAGGTTTCCGAGCAGGGCTGGGGGTGGGGCAGTGTTCGCCTTCCTAAGCGCGAGTCTGCTGGTGGGTGTGGTCTAGAAGATGCTGCTTCTCCTTCCTCCCAGTCTTCCCTTTGATAAAGGCTGGGGAGGGGGTGGGGAACACAGGCTCAGTGACCTCACCTACCTTCTCATTTCACTGATGATTGCGGCATTCAGGCCAGCAGGAGGGAAGAGACTGCTGTGCAGCTAGAAAACAGCGACAGCAATCATTAGCATTTATCTGGCACTTTCCATGTGCCAGGTTCTGTTCTAAGCACTTTAAATTTATGTGTATTAACTCAGCTAATCCTCCCTACAACTCCATGAGGAAGGGACTTTTATTATCCCCATTTAACAGATGAGGAAACTGAGGCACGGGGAGAGGATGTGTCTTGCTCCTGTCTATATGCCCAATTAAGTAGCAGAGCTGGGATTTGAACCTCAGAAGTTTCACTCCTGATCCCTCTGCTGTACTGCCTCTTGTAATCATAGTCACTGCTCACGTTGATTGAGCACTGACTGTGTACCAGGCCCTGTGTCCAGCACTTTCATTCATCGCCTCAATGAATCCCTGTAGTTCAGAGAGGTGAAGCCACCTGCCCTGGGCCACACAGCTGGCTGAGGACTGGAACTCGAGCCAGTGGGATGTGGGAGACCCCAGTAATCAGAATGGGACAATATTGCCCAGGCCTTGTCTGGCGATCCTCCTGCGTGCCTGTCGTCCTTTGCCCGCCCCCCCCCCCCCGCCCCGGGTGCTTCCTATGTTTCTGGGTCAGGCCAGCCTTCTGTTTTGGGAAGCTGAGCAGGGAGGCAGCTGCTGGCCCTGCTGACAGGCGGCCTGGAGAGGAGTCAGCGAGCACACAGGGAGAGTGGTCAGTAAGCCCTGCAGGCTGTGGGCGGGTGGCAGGTGAAGTATGGGGTCAGCTCCGGGAGAGGCGGGGGGGGGGGGCAGGGGGGGGGGGGGGGGGAAGGGCCTCCAGGCTGGCTCTCAGGGAAGGAAAGACCCCGGTGGGGCTGGGGAGGGGGCGATGCTACACCCCAGGTCCTGGAACAAGGGTTCTCTTGGCTGCCATCCTCTCGGAGCTTTCACACAGGAAGGTCCACAATTAATCCTCAGAAAGACAGCCCAGGGGGAGGGTGACATCACCCTGCATTCTGGAAACGGGGGCCCTGGGGCAAGAAACAGCAGCCTAAATTCACACAGGTAGTGCCAGGACAAAGACCCAGGCTGATTCTGTGCAAGTTCTTTCCACTGCCGTGAGAAACCCAGGTTCTCTCCCTCCCCAGCCTTTACCCCTTCACCTGCAGGTAGAGCCACGATGGGGGTGGGGTCTGTGGGAGCTGAAGGGGGTGCTCTATGAAGCCCTCCAAGGCATGGCTTTCTGGATGTCATTTTTGCCTAAAGTTTGCCGTACAACTCCAGGGGTCCGGACTCTTGCTCTGGGCGTGGAGGCGGGTTCTGGCAGCCTCCCCAATTCACTCAGGCTCCAGGTCCAGGAAGACCCAGCTCAGAGTTCCCTCTCTCGGTCGCGCCCAGAGCCAGCTTGCTCCCCAGCAAACAGGAGGCAAGAATGATCATGCCTTTTTCCCTTCCTTTTCTCAGCTCCCCTGTGGGTGACAGTAATGGGATTTCCAGTATCTTCAGCTCCACAAGAGCAGGACCCTTGGGCATCTCGTTCACAGCAGCATCCCCTGTGCCTAGAAGGGCACCTGGTACATGACGGGAGCTCAGGAGATCTTGGCTGAGCAGATCATGTCTTATTTTCGCTGCGTCTGAACTGCCTTGCTACGTGTGACAGACTCCACACACAGTGACAGCACTGGAATATTAACTGAAATTTCCGGAGTGCCTAGAAGGTGCCAGGCACCGAGCTGAATGCTCTCCAAGCATGTTTTTACTCAATCTTTACAACAGCCCTCTGCCCTGCAGTTTGTACTATCATCACCCCAGTTTTACAGATGAGGAAACTGAGGCTCAAGGCATGATGTAACTTGCCCAAGGCCACCAGCTTGTGGGCTCCGAACCCAGGTGTGTCTGAACTTCAAGCCCTTCTTCTGCTGCACACCCATACACACACGTAATTAATAAATAAAATTAAAAACAACCCACATGGTCGCTCCCTTAACAAGCCGATACCCTCCCAATCCCATGCAGGTGGTGCTTGTTTATTAAGCTCTAGCTTCCTCCTACCATTGTCTCCAAAGTTCTCTCCAGACGGCTTCCTCTGACCACCTCTAAAAGTAATTATGATAGTCCTAATCACAATTAAAATAGCAAAATTTAACATTTGGTACCAGTTGTGCTTTATGTATCAACTTAATCGTCAGCCAAATCGCTCTGAAATCGCTATCGTTATCTCCATTCATAGATGATGATACTGAGCCACAGAGAGGTTAAATAACTCTTTCAAGGCACACTGCTACCAAGTGGCAGAGCTGATATTCAAATCCAGGCACACTGGCTCCAGAGTCTGTGCTCCTAACCACTCCGTGATTCTGTGAATAACAACAATCAAAACAACGAAACAGTAATGAACCCACCGTTATTCTAGACCGGTTAGGTCAAGACCAAGCTCTGCTAAAGGCCCTGTCTGTCTTCTCTCTTCATCCTCATAAAAACCCTATGAGGCAGTGGGATACCGTTAATCCTGTTCTATGTGGAAAAGTCTAAGGCACAGGGTCAGGTCTGTGCTGACTGGCTCCTAAGCCTATAACTTGGGCTGCCCAGTAAGCTGGGCCGCCTGGCCCCCGCTGTACGCCTGGCCAGAGCACCAGCTCTCCAAACCCAGCCGGGCCCAACAGACCGCAGCTGAGCTGCAGGTCACGGCCCACCTCTCCCTTCATCTTCTCACTGGGCCTTCCTCTCTAGAACTTTCTACCAGTCCGTCCAGACCTTCCCAGTAGAACAAACGACACCAGGACACACTCACATTTGGGAGCCTGGAGGCTGCCTGGGATGAGCCATCATGGTGTCATCCAGAGGATCCTTACGTGTTACTGACGTGAAAGGTGCTCAGAGCCGGGGCGGGGGCAGGGGCTCGGTGGACTCCGCGGAGGGGGTTGGATCTCAGCTGCATGTGGCTCCAGAACGGAGTCAGGGGTCAGCTCTCTCCACCCATCTTCAAAGATGGACAGCCCTGGCTAACGGCTCTCAGAGGCCCCTTTACTTATTCCCCATTATTTATTCCTTTTATCAGGACTTCTGAGACCCCTTTCATAACTCAAATAGTTATTCTGAGCCAGGCAACCAGGTTTTTAAGGAGTGAGAGTACCAGCATTGACTACTTATAAAAGACAGCACAACATGGTGGGTAAGAATGTGAACACACGCTGATTGAATCCTGTTAGCTGTGCTGCTCTGGGCAAGTGTCTTAGCCTCTCTGAATCTCTGTCTTGCCAGCTGTAAAATGGGGATGATAACAGTACCTATCTCACAGGGTAATTGTCTGCACAGGTTGTGAGGGGGACATGGTCGAGGAGGTCGGTATGCGCCAGGTGACGTAGGGCCT